TGGACAATTGAGTGCTTTTTGTAGCGCAGGGTTTCGTCTCCTAGTAGAAGCGACACCTACAGTTTCCTGCGTTATCTGCAATAAAACGCACGCTCCTGCTAGAAGAAAATCGATTACAAAAAGAACCATCTATTATCCAGTTATCTAAAAATGAAAGAACCAGAAACCAATATGAATCCTCTGTGTACATTTCAAAAAGAACACCGGTGAAATGTGTCAATCACCATTAAATTATCCGATTCATTTCCAGCTGTTTCGACATAACTGAACCCAACCCAAGATGCATTATTTATTCCAAGATGAAGGCCAGAGCGATTGCCATGCTTAAGTATTTTTGTCACTTTGAGATATTGACGATTCCTGACTTAAAATTCGGAATCTACGCCTCAACTTACATGAAAATCGACACCTCACATGCCGCTTTGAGAGAATTTCACTGCAACTATGTCCCACCGGCGGCCGTTTTGAAGAGGGTACGGGGTTGCTCCTGGCCCCCCGTAGGGGTAATGGCATTCCAGACCTCTAATTTGCGATTTTCAACTTGGAATTCGGAATCTAAGCCTCTACTTACATAAGAATCGACACCTCACATGACGTCCTGAGAGAATTTCACTATTTATTCCCCCCCATGGCAGCCATATTAGAAAAAAGAGGGGGTTGAGGGGGTTCCCCTGGCCCCATATAGGGTATAGGCCATTGCAAGTCTCACATTTGCGATTTATGACTTGAAATTTGGAATTTACGCCTCAAATTACATAGGAATCGACACCTACTATGACGTTCTGAGAGAATGTCACTATTTATGCCCTCCGCGGCGGCCATATTGGGGGTAGGAGGGGGTGAACCCTGGCCCTCCATAAGGTGCAGTGGCATTGTAGACCTCCCTTGTAGGTTTTCTGACCTAATTAACATGAATGGAGATACGTCAATCGACAGTGAAAGGTGCATCTTGGGTAATTATCATTAAAGTTGAAATTTTGGCCGCCATCTAGGATTTGACGATCCCCAAGGGTTTGAAATGATTTTTTGACACCAGATATGAATTCTACGACCAAAATTACATATAAATGGATACCAAACTCGACAATATTCTCAAATTTTGGAATTTTGACCCCCGGGGCGGCCATTTTGGGCGCCATCTTGAATTGGGGGCACCAGCATCATTTTTGGACTTGACAACATCGAAAATCGGATTCTACACGAAAAAACGAAGAGAATGATGTATCATTCAAACTTTATTACACAAGCTGCACACAGGAGTACACCTGCAACCGCACTAGGCGTCAGGAGTTTGTCACCAGATGGTGTTTTGTGGACCACTTTGAGGGCCTAGATGAGGGTGATGGCACAGGCTAGAGGGTGGCAGACAAAGTTTTTCTAGTCACCCTGGGTATGATCTTTAATCATAAACTTGTCTGCCAAGCGTCAGGAGTTTGTCACCAGATGGTGTTTTTGGACCACTTTGAGGGCCTAGATGAGGGTGGTGGCACAGGCTAGAGGGTGGCAGACAAAGTTTTTCTAGTCACCCTGGGTATGATCTTTAATAATAGACTTGTCTGCCGAGCGTCAGGAGTTAGTCACCAGATGGTGTTTTTTGGACCACTTTGAGGGCCTAGATGAGGGTGATGGCACAGGCTAGAGGGCGGCAGACAAAAATTTTCCGTTTCAGTGCATGCAAGGCTATCGATTTAGGGGGTCAAAACATGTATCCCGAGTTTGTCACTCAAAGTCGTCTGGCTCTCGGACTATAACCACCTGATAGCAATCGGCGTGTTTGCATTCATATTTTTCTCGCCTTGATAGATATCCACCTTGATTGACCGCGTGCTCTCCTCAACTTGCGCGCGAGAGCGTCGGCCATGTTGAGGAGTGATTGAATGGAACGACTCCTCCAACGAAATGTTCACCTGTGCCGTAGTATCCTTTTTGAAGCGGGAAGCTTAAATAAACGCTAATTTCTCACGCAGATTGTGAAGTTAGGAGTGCATCTCAGAGTTTGCCGATGCGCTCATCGTGATTTTTGAGACATTACTTCTCGGGAACTACTCTTGTTTTTGCTCCAGCAAGAGTCTGCAAGAGGCCCATCGAAGGGACGGCAGTTACCCCTTCTTGGCGGTGGCGTAGGCGGGAACTGGAGGAGCGCCGTCCAAGCCGCGCAACCTATGATTCAAGAGTTGAGTCACCCGCAAGCGGCCAAAATGACGGACGAGAATTTGGTTATGAAATATATTCACGGGCACAATGGAAATCGCCGCGGCCCTTGCGTCTCGCGGGGCGGAGTGCGCGGGGGAGAGGCGGAAGGAAGAAAGGGAGGGAGGGAGGGCGGGAGGGAAAACGGTGGGAGCGATAGCGGCATCAGCGGCAGCGCTAGAGTAAAAGTGGTTTTGACCTAGAGCGGCCTCGGCCCTCCGTCGACGTCGGGCCAGTCGCCAAGAGAAATCCTCCGAGGAGGCCATCGCGGGCAGCCTGGCAACGCCTGCTCCCTGCTCTCAGCGCTCGCTTCTCATTGGCCCGAGCGCGGGCCAATTACCTCGAAATTGCCACGATATTGACAAGTGGAAATGTAGTTACAACTTGACGTGTAACTTGAGTTCGACGCAACCGAAGCGGCTTAGATTCCAACGAAGATGGTAGTCGCACACCCGCACTTGCGCCACTGTAGCCGAACCCGATTAGAAGGATACTAATTCCCATGATGACTTTTAAAGCCGTATTTTCCTCCAACTGGCCTAATGCCGTCGCGCGGCGCCGGTCGCCATTTGATTGCGTGGAATATATCGAAGTTCGGCCGCCGGGAGCAGTGCCGCGTCCAAAGCAGTACATGGAATCAAATGGGAGACCGGTCGTGCGCCGCGCGCGACGTCACAGCGTCAGTTGGAGGAAAATACGGCTTAAGAAGCGTATGCAATCTGGTCAGAAAGAAGAAATTGAAGAAAATCGGCTCAGCCTATCCTTGCGTGGTGTATTATGTATCACGGAAAAAAAATTGCTGACTCAACAATCTAGAAACAGTTAGTGCAATGTTTCAACGCAGATTTTACAACAAAAAAATGCTACTTTAACCACCCCCGTGGTTAACTTAGTTTTCAATGTGGTTAAAGTAGCTTTTTTTTGTTGTAAAATCTGGTTTGAAACATTGCACTCACTGTTTTTAGCAATTGAATTGTTGAATCAGCAATTTTTTTTCCCCTGATATATATTTTAGGCGTAAGGGCAAAGCCTATCACCAGAACACAGTCCCACCGCAGGAAGCGGAGCAAATATAAGCAGAATTATGCTTCAATTAAAATGCTACAAAATCCAAGAGCAGTATCAAAATACAGTAAATTACACGAGAGGCATATTTTACGAAAACGATTCAACATCGTTAAAATATTAAGGAATTTAGTACAATCGTACCATGTAGAATGGTAACAGTGCGCCAGTGAACGCTGTAAGAACGCAAAGGTTAATAGAGTACAGAACAGATAAGTAGAGCTACGGACGGGAGCAACAGTTGAGAGTGCGCTGAAGAGCATCAGAGGTATTCATTAGTCAATCATCGAGCACTTTTTTACCAATACATCATTGGCATTTTCTATATCTCATTGGATGTTGATTAAATCACAATCTTTCCGGAAAGAAAAGAATTTTCCTTCGGACTCTTGTCTCTCACGAAACATCCACAATCAGGGTGTCTGCGAATCCGGTGAGTCCAGAGATAGTAATGATTTCTTAAGGGCGGTCGGGAAAGTCTGGAAAAGTGCGAAAATTCAAATGGAAGGTCCTGGATTTTCCCGTTCATACCACGCGTGTTTTATGACAAAACCAGGAAAGTATGCAATCCCCTGCGCGTTTATCTTCGCATAGCATTAGCATTTGCTGCAATGACGTGGCGTGTGTTGCGATCTATTGATATTTCCCCATTTGAAGCTGTGGTAAATAATCGATTATAGTGTTCGTTGCGAACACCTTGTTTATCGATACTTTTCCGTAAGTTTAAATGGCCGATAAATCAATCTATCGCAAAGCACAGCACGCCACGCCACTGATTTGCTCGCAAGATTGCGATCGTGCAGTCAGTTGTTCTTCCAGCCACCAATAAAATTTTGTGTTTACGTCATTTTGTCGCAATTCAAGCGAGAATTTCAAATTTTCGAAATTTTTCGCATTGCGTCAAATGGAGTTACTATAAAAGCACTGAATTTCTCAGAAAAGTTCTGTTGAGACGAATATATCGGAAACAAAGCTCAATGTGTTCTCGTTTAAGCTGTTTACAGCGTTTCAGCTCTTCCTCAAGCTGAAAAAGAGTTACACTGTAAGCTCTGATTTTACGCCAGTTTTGGTAGACTCCCACCCGGATAAATTTACACGAGAAGTCGTGGCACATGCTGATTAAGTAACAAAATTTAATTTGTCTCGGACACCCTACAGGTTGGCTCCCTCTGCAGTGCTACAGAAAAACGTCGCATGAACCTTCAGGCTTTGTCAAAGCCAAAGTTCCTCCGATAAAGCACGAATTTTCAAGGAATGGATTTCTTTTTTCATAATTTTCAGACGATTTCTTACATCTATAATATCTCAAAATTTTAAGGTGATTCGACGGATGCCATTTTTTGTGTTATGCGATATTTTTCCTCTAAAAAAACCACGCCTTTATTGACACTAGAGTCTGGCCTCTTGTTTCAAGCGGATTTTGCATTGATTCGATTCAAAATCCGCTTGTTTCAAGCAACAATCCGGCGACAAGAAACTGCACTCTTGACCCAAGAGGTTTTTTTGACCAGTGTAATGTGTTGTTTTTTTCCAGTGTAGCTTGCATAATTCGCCTGAAAATTGCACTTTTTTTCTGGTAAATCTGGCAAGACATGAATGTGGATACGGCGTTTTTCCTGCGTAGTGGATTGGGATCCTTGGCTTGGGAAGAGGGTGTTGGAGCGGGCGACTTTCTTCTTGTGGCATGAATGACGGGGGGCGCGGCGCGGCGCGGACGGCAACAGCGGGCCAGCGGCATACTTCGGTGACCTGGATGCTGACGGTAGGTGAAGCAGCGTCGAGCGTGCTATTCACCAATCGCTCCTTAGCCAGATACGTACGATCCGGATGTGAGCCGCAACCTCTTTGTTCTTTATTAACACTTTTCCACCTGCCAGTGAGCCCACGTACCTCTTCGCCGTACCAGTTCAGTGCCGCGCCGGATATTCCCCCGTTTTTACGCCCGAACAGGAATAAAAAACCCCAATATCTCCAAGTAAGTACGCCGCCTTTTTTCCCGGCCTTTCCGGAATCTACCAACGAGAAACCGAAAGTTACTCAGTCGTCGTTGTCTTGATTTTTTCTACGCGTTTCACCTTTTAAGTCTGGTACGCGTTTTGTCCCCTCGAAATGTCCCCCATTTTTACGCCGAAACAGGAATTTAAACTCCCAATTTCTTCGAGTAAGCACGCCGCCTCTTTTCCCGAGCTTTCCGGATTTGACCAACGAGAAACCGAAAGTTACTCAGCCGTCGTTGTCTTGATTTTTTCTACGTTTTTCACCTCCTAAGTCTCACACGCGTTTTGTCCCCTCGAAATTTTCCCCATTTTTACGCCGAAATAGGAATTTTAACTCTCTACTTTTCCGAGTAAGCACGCCGCCTTCTTTCCTGGAGTTTTGTTCATTTTACCATCGAAAAACAGAAAGTTACTGGGCCGTTGCTGTGTCTATTTCTTGTACGTTTTTCACCTTTTAAGTCTCTCACGCGTCTCGTCCCCTCAAAATGTCCCCTATTTTCACGCCGAAGCAGGAATTTTAACCCCCTATCTCTCCTAGTAAGCAAACTGCCTCTTTTTCCGGGGTTTTGCTCATTTTACCGTCGAGAAACAGTAAGTTACTGGGTCGTCGTTGTGTGGATTTTTACAGGTTTTTCACATTTTATGGCTCTCACGCACATAGTCTTTTCGGAAGATGCTGCCTGTTAGAAATTTTTTGTTACCCCGTAAAAACAGATCAGTTGTGGTGAAATTACGGAGTCGATGGTAAAGCTTACAGCGGCACGTCATGTAAATTTGAAGAATTTCTCCTTGTTCTGTCACGTTAAACTATGAAGCTGTGTCAGAATTCTTGCAAGGAGTACACGGCTTATTTCCCGGGAAGATCAATTTATGCAAGCTCACAACGTCCCGTGGGAAACCAGAATCATGGTTTTTTTTATTACCACGGAGTTTTCCCTTTTTACCACCCCTTGGGGTCTTACCCCGTGGATCCTGCAAGTAATCTCTTCGCTTCCTTCAAGGAATTCCTCATTTCTTACCGTGGAATAGTGTCGGGGTTCTCTTCGCTTTTCTGACGTCTTCCCAAAGTGTTATACCTTTTTTTTCCTTGCAGTTAACATACTAATTTTTTGTATGATTTTCGGCTTTTTATCACGAACCATTAGAAACGTGGCAGCAAAGCCACGGAGTTTTCGGTACGCAGATTTCGACCACGCTTTTCGCCTGTTGCGGTTTCTGTCGCGTTTACGCTTTTCCGGGATTTTCCCTCAAAAGTTCGTCTCGTAGATACTTTGCCATGTTTTAAGAGATTATTTTTTGTTACTGTTTTAAAGTGAAAACAGTTACTATGAAATTAAGTGAGCCGTTGGCCACAAGACGCATTCCTACGGTTTGTTAATGTTTCGAAATTTCTCCTTTTTTTAACGCCTTGTCCAGGTTGTATCCTTTTAATTGCCCAAGTAAGTAAACCGCCTTTTTCTTCTCATTTTAAATCTTTCTTACACTGGATGTACAGAAACCTTTTTGTTCTATTACTGGTTTAAATAGGAATGTGCAGTATAACAGTTGTTTTGCTCTTACGGAGTTTCTCTTTTCTCTCACACCGGGTTATTACCATGACCTTGCCAGGATTCGAAAGGGAGTTTTCTTTTGTGCCTCTGATTTTTGATAACGTGTGTATTTTTGATGAATTGTTCACCCTTGCAACGCGTCATCATGATTCACAGGCATGGCGTGCTTTATTAAGGTGTTCGCTGCGAACACCCTGTCAGTCAAAACTTTACCATAGATTTAAATGGCCGATCAATCGATGTATCGCAAATCACGCCCCGCCACTGTCATGATTTCGTAGCCTTATTTCTTACTAGCAAGCTCACTGCGGTAATCCAATGGACTACACTGGAAAAAAAAGTAGCTTGAAACAAATCAAAATCAGCTTGATGCAAGCTGGAAAAAATCTTAAATTTGCCGCGAAGAAACGTATAGCTTGAAATAAGCATGGCCGTGCTGCTTGAAATTAGCTACCCGGCAGAATCTTGATTATTTTTCGTTTAATGCTCGGATCCAATACTAAATACTGAAAGTTTTATTCATTTTTCATAAAATTCCGTAACGTAGGGATAAAACGTTACTGATTCTTCGACATGGATCATGTTGAAGTCGTCGTGCGTTGCCGCGGGTTTTGTTCTCGGTTTGCAGCACTGTTTAAATGCGCGGCTTTTGGAGATCTCCTGGATTGACTTGAGAATGTAGGAATGCATAACTTAATGCTCGTGTCGAAAATAAAGGCGGAGTGGTTACAGTCCAATGGAAACTTAATTCAAGAAGTTGGCTGCAAACTTAATTTAAGTCTAATTTTTTCAGCTATTTCCAAGATTCGTGTCATGCTTGAAACCAGGAATCTTGAATCGAGTATACATTATCTTGAATCAAGAAACAACTTCTTATAGGCATAAAATATTATCAGGGACATACAGAAACTACTGGAAGCCCCCCCCCCCCTTTAAGAATTCCTAGCTACGCCACCATGGAGTTATGCTAGTTTCCTCAATTACACAGTTAGTATGAAGTTACTCACACTAAAATAGAGCATCTTTCATGAGGTTCAGAGCCCCCAGAAGATCTCCAGCAATCCTCGAGGCCTTTTTGCCAATTAGAAGGCGCGTCAGTCCACTTCGCCGTGTCAGTGGGCTTCTAATGCCTCCTGAACCATGGCATGGTTATGCCGTTTGCATACCTAAGATTTGCATGTTTGACGAGTCTGTCCGGAAAAAAAGGATCGCATTACTATCCGGCAACACTGCCTCGGTTGAAATAGGCAATCCTGCGGTGTGCCTCGGTGGAATTCCCTCGAATATTCGGTGGAACCTATCACGTGAGTTACATCAAATACCCCCGTGTCCTCTCGTGCAAGGAGTGCTAACGCAAAATCCTGGATCGTGCTTTTTGACTCACCGGGAAGTTTGCACGGATCACGATGCACCATTCTCTCTCTGCTTCGATGAGAAAGTTGCGTTACCGTCCAAGTTCGTGGAAGCTCCGCGTTGCCATGCTGTTGTCTTTGTCTGCGAAAATCACCTTCAATGGAGATGTTGCAACGTGTGAGGAATTTGAAATTTTGTATGATTTACGATTAAATCTGAATTAATTGAAATGGAGTTTTTACCTTTTATTTGCAGGAAAAATATAAAGACGAAAGGAAATATAAAGAGATACAACGACGGAGATATAACAGAGATTGATTGATACTGAAAATTTTGGTAACCATGGCGACAATCAAGGGGGGACCCGCTTCATTTTGCCCCCCCCCTGAATTTCTCCGAAGTTCTGAGTTAGGGCTGCTCTTCATGGGGTCCGCGGAAAATTCTCACTTCATCAAAAATTGCCGTTTCGAAGCGGTCCAGAAGCCGATTTCTCCGAAGCGTATTTCGGCATAGTGTGCATCTTCTTCTAGAATCCCTCCTTTGACACACTGAGCACTGGACGTGGTCCAGTCTACAAGCCCAGAACGGGGCCGTGGTGGTTTTCTGGCAACTAATGCAAGTTACGATTTCTTACAGGAAAAGTCCAATTACTCTTTCCCGTGTTGACATCTGCAAGGTCATCAACCAGAACAACTGAAGCGGAGTAGGGAAAGGGGGACAAACGAAGCAGGAGGGAGAGAATTTTCAAACATTACAAAACGATGAATTTAAAATCGCACAATGACAATTTTAAAAATAAAATGTGACATCGTCCCAACTTCTAGGGGGATCGTGTCCGGGCGGCACATACACGTAAGCGGGATTTGGCTTTCCATAAAATTCCGCCTTCGTTCTAGAACGTGCGGAGGGATTTTGGCATTCTGAATTTTGAGGAGACCGTGTCGAAGGAGGGGAAGTTGATGATGAGTTAGAAATTTGGGGCTGGTTGACAGAAGAGGTAGAAGCTTGATCCTGGGCGGTAAAGGGAATAGCTTCACTACTGGACGACGAAGTGTTCCACAGGCCGTGCGAACATCGACCACTCGAGTGTGGCCGTCTTTTCCAGGGTGAAGTTGGACAACTCGTCCTAACTTCCACCGTAAAGGAGGGGTAGAGGGATCGTGTAATACCACTAGTTGTCCCTCCTTCAGAGAGTCCTCCTTCTCCCACCATTTTCCCCTCGGCAGTAAGGTATGCAGATACTCTATATGCCACCTTCGCCAAAACTGCTGAGCCAATAACTCAGCCAAATGCCACCTCCTAAGAAATAGGGAAAGAATTAGAACGACTTGACCGATTATGACGATTTGAGATAGCTTAGCTTTTGACCAATTGAATGACTGCCGTTTTGATTCGTTCCGAGCGAGATTCGTTGAAAATGCGCCGGGCAGGATAGGAAGAGGAGGAACTTGATAGCTTATCTGAAGCTAGACGTCGAGCACCCGTACAATATTTTGAACTTTTCCCGCTTTTCGGCACCAAATGAAATTTTCTTTGATTTATGATAAAATCTGAACTTCTTAAATTGGAGTTTTTACCTTTTATTTGCAGGAAAAATATAAAGACGAAAAGAAATATAAAGACGGAAATATAACAGAGATTGATTGATGCTCAAAATTGTGGTAACCAAGGCAACGGTCAAGGATGGACCCGCTTCAGAATTTGAGATTTGACTATAGATTCTCATGTAAAAGTTCGCGAGAAAGACGATTGTGCCACTGGTTTTCCCTGAAATCATCTCCCAAGCTCAAAAAAAGCTCTTAAGTTAAGGCCAAAATGGAGGGGATATCCCACGAAATCCTGAGAGTTCACCTTTACATCAAGACAAACTCCCAATGCTAAGATTGAGCGCAAATACATTAGCAGGGTTGCCGTGTTTTCAGTTTTAGAGCCCCCAGATGAAGTAACATCCCTGTCAATGTATTTGCTCCCTATCTTTGCATGGAAAGTTTGTCTGGATGTAGACGTAGACTCTCAGGATAGCGTGGGGTATCCCCTCCATTTTGGCCTCAACCTGAGAGCTTTTTTCGAGCTTG